TATTTAACCGTGCTATGATAGGGCCGCGGATCGGAGGGGTTCAGGATGAACAGGGTTAAAACAATGTAAATATAATATGTTTTACGATGTTCATTTATTGTTCATAACCTGTGCCCAAATTGATCCAAAGGAAGGTATGAATGGTTAGAAAATTTCGATTTTTCAAAATCCATGGAAAAAAATCGATAAAAGAGCCAAAATTAAAAATTAAATACAGAGCTCTGCTAGAAAGCTCTCTGCACTTTTTGCAGTGGACGCTGAGAAAGGTGTCTGCACATATGGAGGGAGGGAAGGCCAAGCGGCCCTGAACCCCATTCTCAATTAGCTAGCCTCCTTTTTAACCACAGTACCCACGGCCGGGGTACTAAGTCAAGAAATAACAATAAGAATAACAAAGAGCTACTTTGTCTAATACTAAATATGTTGGGTATTTATAAGTGCATTGGAGTCCTGTGAACTGGAGACCCTGGAGTCAAGAAGGGACAAGCTATGCCTCTCTTTTGCAAAGAAATGTATTAAATCTTCTAAACATCGTCATCTCTTCCCTGCTGCAGTTCACCCACATGAACATCAACTACGCCACCAGGAGCAGTATCATGTTAATCATGCCAGGACAGAAAAATATAAAAAATCTGGTATTCCTCATATCCAGAGACTGCTGAACCGATAATCTTTTTGTTTCATAATTAATAGTGAATGATAATCACTATTTGATTTTATCACAATAAATCGTTATTTATTTATTTATTTAATACTAATCCGGTTTCACAACCACTCCAATTAGCGATCGGAGCTCTTTCTGGAAGGACCCTTTCCCTGCTCCCTGAGCAGAGCTGATAAAAGGGGACAACTCCGCATTCTGAATACAGCGGTGCACACTAAATGTGATACTTCCTCAGGAATTCCGCTGGACTGGTAAACAGTATAACATTTGGACAAATGGAGTGATTTTAACGAAACATTCCTAATATGCCACTCCTACAAACCCTTATCCTCATCTCCAACTCTCCTCTACCTACCATCTAACCTTCTCACAATTGCAGCAAAATGAGACTCGAGGACATTTCTCTGTTGGATCCTACAACAAAATTACCTCTGAGTGGGTCACTTGATTATCCTTTGTTGAGTAGCAACCATAGATAAATAAATAAACATAGATAGCTTATGTACGCAAAATCACCAAGAATTGTACAGTCCGCGAACTCATACTTCTAGGGGTCAAAGTGTACTTCAATAATAAGCGGGGTGGTTTGGTGTTTTACTGGATTTCATATTAGAGTGTAAAATAACTCCGGGAATGGAACTATTTGAACAACAATATTTCACTAAGCAATATATCATATTGACGAGTACTAAAAAAGGACATGAGAAGGACTAAACTAACATAAATTTCTCTCTACAGAACTCATGTACACCACAAGTACTCAATAACATAAGAACAGCCAATGTTCACAACCGACCTAGTTAATCTATATAATAGGAATATCTTCAAAACGTCTCTGTACATTTCTATCTTTCAAGATGAAAAATGTCGTCTTATGCGCAATCTATCTTTATCTATGATTGGTAGCAACCCTCCTTGTACAGAAAAGTAAAAAAGAGCGGTGCAGGGAAGCTATTACTCGACCCTCGCTGCAAATAGAAACTAACTTGAAGTGCTAGAAGTGATGACCTAGCCAATGCATGTATAGACAGAATGTTCAGTGCTGAGGCTGCAATTATAATCAAGCAAAACAAAAATAACGGAGAGGGGGATCCTGCACTGTCTTATAATGGCGGAAAGACTGCGACTCGTAAACATTATTTCAAAAGCAGTACCTTAAATGGACGGGCAAAGGGAGGCAAGAAAATGAGAAACTGCAGACGTGCAGATGGAGAAAGGAGAAAATAGATGATAGATAATTATTTTAAATTATTTACTAATGCCTCGTACCATTTTATTTTACAAAAATTATAAAAAATGAATTATAAGAACATGGTTAATAAAAAGTTAAAACGAAGATGGACGCGAAGCGCCCTGAAAGCCAAGTAAATCTAATAAATGCAAAGATAAAAAGAAATAAACAAATGGGAAATATGGGAGGTTATGTTTTTGGAATAGTCTTTTTATGATTATCATTAAGTTCTGGACAATATAATTTGATACTCTATCTAAATAAGTTTTTGCTTGAACATGATGATCATTAAGTTCTGAATAAATGAAGTCAGCTGTCGATAAGATTCAGATAAAAATTAATCAATAAATTCATTTCTTTATTTTGTAGAAATAATTATTAGATTTAAAGTAAATGAGCTTTTGCCACAAACTCTGATTTTGTGTTTCCTTTATCTTTGCAACCCAGTGTGGTATATCTTAGATATTTCAAACTATCAATTTTATTAGATTAAATAATCTCAGTTTGAAATAATACAGGATTACACCATAAGGTTGCAAAGATATTGGAATTGAGTTTGTGACGAAGACTTAATTCCTTCATGTGTTGTTGAAACAATTCAGTAATAAAGTATAACTTGTGAAGTGCACGTAGACTGTGCATTTCATAATGCAACCTATTTAATCAGATCAAGTAAGATACGTTTTGTAGAATACGATTACACAATCACGCGATTTCAATTCCGTTTATAGATGCAATTAAAGTACTTAGGCGGTCGCATAAATAACGACAAAGGTGTAACAAAAGTGTAATATATGTCATTTTCCAATCCTGTGTTTCTGCGACTGCTGAACAATGATAAAAAATACAAATCATATAATTCCAGTGTTCTACTTTGCGACTATTCTTGACAATTTTTCTTTTCATTTTGATTTATATTTGCGCCGCACAGAGGCGCAGACTTAAAACACATTGAAAAAAATCCAGACCATGTGTCTCAAGTCTGTGTTTCTGCGACTTTTTGACTTTTAAAAACTTTTTTGAAAAAAAATTGAGACCATATGATTCAAGATTGACTTTGATAGTTTTCTCTGAAAAATTTGAATTTGATTTGTTAAAACTAGTCGAATCATTTTTTAACATTTAAGCTACAGATCTATTTATTTGTAAAGCTCTTGAAAAATGAATATTATAACATGTCGCATGTTAATATTTGTCAAAAGTCAAAATTTGTTTTCTCAACATATTTTCGACATTTCATTTTTGTCTGTTTGATATGTATCAATTTCCTAAAAAACAGAACGGCATCTTCCGTAATAAAAATTTGAGCAACGCTATCCTAAATTGATTTTAATTTGCAATTTTTTTATAAAAAGCACCTGAACCTGAACAGTAAACAACTCGAATTGACAGACAATTTGAACACAATTGACGATTTAAGATAAAGTAGTATGCAGGATACCAGTAAAATTAAAACTAGGAGCTGCGAGGTCACAAAGTCGTGCCAGTTAAATTAAAACTAGGAGCTACGAGGTCACAAAGTCATACCAGCAAAATCAAAACTGGAGGAACTGCGAGGTCACAGAGTCGTACCAGTAAAATAAAAACTGGAGTAGCTACGAGGTCACAAAGTCGTACCAGTAAAATCAAAACTAGGAGCTACGAGGTCACACAGTCGTACCAGTAAAATCAAAACTAGGAGAGCTACGAGGTCACAAAGTAGTACCAGTAAAATCAAAACTGAAGGAGCTGCGAGGTCACAAAGTCATACCAGTAAAATGAAAACTGAAGGAGCTACGAGGTCACAAAGCCGTACCAGTGAAATCAAAACTGGGGGAGCTACGAGGTCACAAAGCCGTACCAGTAAAATCAAAACTGGGGGAGCTACGAGGTCACAAAGTAGTACCAGTAAAATCAAAGCCGGAGGAGCTACGAAGTCATATACTAGTAAAATCAAAACCAGGAGCTACGAGGTCACAAAGTCGTACCAGTAAAATCAAAACTAGGAGCTACGGGGTCACAAAGTCGTACCAGTAAAATCACAACTAGAGGAGCTACGAGGTCACAAAGTCGTACCAGTAAAATCAAAACTAGAGGAGCTACGAGGTCACAAAGTCGTACCAGTAAAATCAAAACTAGAGGAGCTACGAGGTCACAAAGTCGTACCAGTAAAATCAAAACTTGAGGAGCTACGAGGTCACAAAGTCATAAAATGAAAACTAGGAGCTACGAGGTCACAAAGTCGTACCAGTAAAATCAAAACTAGAGGAGCTACGAGGTCACAAAGTCGTACCAGTAAAATCAAAACTTGAGGAGCTACGAGGTCACAAAGTCATACCAGTAAAATCAAAACTAGAGGGGCTACGAGGTCACAAAGTATTACCAGTAAAAAAAAATACGGAGGAATTTCAAATCGTATATTCTCATTTGATATTCCTCTTCGTAAAAAATTGGTATTGAAGGATTTATTCGCTTAAGACAGGTTAAGTTACTCTTTTTCCTTTGTATTCAGAAAAGAATGTTACAATATATTTATTTCATGTTAAAGGTTTTTAATATTTTTTCAATCATGTATGAGATTTATAAGGTTAGAAGAAACATGGTTTGCGGAACCCGTTTTTCAGAATATACAATAATTTAACAATAAAATAAAGTTACTATGTTAAGTATGATTGTAAGAAATGCACTGATGTTGCACATTTTCATGAGATTGTATCAGATGTAATAAATTTGCAAGTTTCAAACAGAGGAGAAAGAGCTAACAATGTAGCGTAACCTTCAAATTGTACATAGCTCCATTTTTGGATCTTTTAGTTTAAGGATATTATTCTCCTTTTTAGAGAATCTCTAAAATTTCTTCGTATTAGTTGTCACCCATGGGTCCTGTGAGTTTCTACTCATTATTTAACAATGAAGAGGAAAAAAAGAATTTAAAGGAATTGAAATCTATGTCACAAACTCAGAGTAAGCTTTACCTCTTCGTTTCCTATTCTATGCACCATTCTAAAGTTTTCAGCTCAGTTCTTTTAACATGATTAGTTCACGATAAACTTACATAATTAGCAATTCCACAAAATTAAGTTTTTAGACAAATTCCTACCCCTATACTAATTTTTACTAACTGTATACTTTTATACTAATTTTTATTAACTGTAAATGTTTAATATATAATTTTATGTAAATAATTAAGTATTTTATAATCCTTCAAATGGGAACTACAGTGCACATTAAGAGTGTATTTGTGTACACTATTCTGTATCTTCCACTACATTGTACATAAAGAGTGCAGTACACTGTAATATTGTTTCTTCAGAACACTTGCTGAATGAGAAAATAGTTCACATAACGTTGCAGTCGATCTCTTGCTGAATGAGAAAATAGTTCACATAACGTTGCAGTCGATCTCTCCATCGTTAGGAATAGTTTCCAATACCCTGAACAAATTCATTAATTGCTCATTATTGTTTTCTGTATCAGTCAATCCATAACCGGAACAAATTAGGCATTCTCCGAAATTAGGTTAACTTTAGAGATACGTCCCACTGAACGTAACCATGCCAAATAACAGAAGACCAATTTATGCGATACTCAATATGAATCCTAATTATAAAACCAGGCATTATTATTCTCAAAATATTTTACAGATCTGAATTCGATAAATATTATTTATAAAAAAGTAGCTTTAATTACGGTATTACCCCCCTCCCCCCTCCTTGGAATATACTTTGTTTTCCCTGATGTTATGTATGTTTCCAGGGAGGGGATATTTTTAAACAGTTTTTTTTCGCCGAGTTAGGAAAAATAAATGATTTTTTTCGGTAAAAACTAAAAAGTTTCGAAAAGAAATAAATAAATTGCATTTTGATGTCAAATTTTTCATTCTTAATTAATCGCACTTAAATTCTCATGGACACAATTCTTCTTTATCTAGCGACGCCAGGAACATCAATAATTTCTTTATCACGGCTTCTTTATTTAATATAAACATATATTGATTTAGGCTGAAGAAAGCAATGCACTAAAAACCATCTTAAAAAATTACAAAAGTTTAGTAATTGAAATAAGTTTGATGTTTGTTTACCTGCAAGCTGATCTAACCAGATAGGAAATAGTTCCATACGTTCCACTGGGAGCAGAGTCATAGAATAGACAACATATACCTCCAGATCCACCGCATTTACCAGCCTATAAATCAATAAATATATATATATAAATATATTTATTAGTCTATTTAGTATAAATGTACAGGATGTCCCAAAAGAAACTTGGCAGTGGTATTGGGTACTGAGGGGAAATTTTATATAAAATTTTACAAACAATGCTTTATTTGAAAATTGAAAGGTCTATATTTCAGTTATTTAAAGTTATCGCTTTATCTTTCTTTCTGGCTTCATAATTTGTTTATTACTTCTTTGAGTGTAAGTCGAAAAAAGATGTTTCAGATTAAATTTTTTTTTTTTGACTTTTTTTCATTTGTTCAAAAATTATTAAAATAAATTATGACAGATTTTCATATTTTTTTATAAGTAGAGTGTTTAGTCGGAGGTTTCTTTAAAAGCCTAAATTTTGGATCAGCAATAATTATTTTTGAGAGCAACGAAAAAAAGAATAGACAACAATACCTCCAGATCCGCAACATTTATAGAATAAACAAAATACAGGGTGTCCTAGGAAACTTGACGGTAGAAAAACGACTTGACGGTCATCTCAGATCATTGACAGTATTTGCGAAATTCGCTAGTCAACCTTCTTTTAGATGTATGATTCTTGTAACAGTGATCACAAAAATCTACTGGTCCTCACCTTTCCAAAATTTGGTCTGCCTATTTTGTCAATATTACCGGAGATTAAATCTGAAAATAATTCTTCATATCTCCGGTAATATTAAAGGCACAAAAAAAGGCAGACCATAATTTGGAAATGCCAGAACTAAGATTATTTTGTTATTATCAACTCTAGAATTAAAACTAAAAATGAGATTTTAGAAAAATTGACGCGTATTATTTCAAAGATCAAAGACGACTGTATATTAGATAAATTCGAATCTAATCGATTTTTATTACTATGCAAAATTCATATCTTCTCATTATCTAATTAATTCTCCCCTAAGGTTGATATTATTTACCTTCTGTGCACAGCAGAATGAATCACCATTAATATTTCTCTGATCTTCTAGGAATATTTCATTCGCTTGGTTAACAATATTCTCAACCTAGAAATATATTCAGCTATATTCTCAACCTAGAAATATATTCAACTATATTCTCAACCTAGAAATATATTCAGCTATATTCTCAACCTATAAATATATTCAGCTATATTCTCAACCTAGAAATATATTCAACTATATTCTCAACATAGAAATACATCACTCTTGAATGCCGAGTCTACTAACGCCTGATCCAATCAGGGTTCAGTCATGTGTTTGATGTCTATTCTGAACCAATAGAAATAGTATGGTGGTAACATCTATCTTTCTATCTATCTCATTATCCAATTAGAGATAAATCCTTGTATTGGCGCTTAACACTAAATGGAAACATTTACTTCTACAGTGATATTCAGCTATATTCTCAACCTAGAAATATATTCCACTTTATTCTAAACCTAGAAATATATTCAGCTATATTCTGAACCTAGAAATATATTCCACTATATTCTAAACCTAGAGGTATATTCCACTATATTCTCCAGGTAAACTTTATGGTCTTGTAAAAGATTATAAACCTGTTGAACCCAGTTCAAATTTACCTCCTATGAGAGAGGTTGTATCTGGGTCTGGCTCTAATACAGAGTTTTTGTCAGCATTTGTCGATCATCATCCGTAGGCAGAGGTAAAGAAACTCCCGAGCTATATTGAAGATACACCAGATCTGTTGAGAGAAATAGGTAAGAGAAATGATTTGGGGCCTCTACCTCCTCATGCTATTCATGTATCCATGGATGCTGTAGCTCTGTATCCTATTTTTCCAGCTGAATTTAGTTATGGAACCATGTATGTGAATTATTTAGATATGAAGATATTTATTGATGACCCTGGGGTTATATACGTACAGATCTATACAAGAAGGAAAACAAGAAGAATAACTATCTTCTTCCTTCCAGCTGTCATCCTAACCATATAACTAAGAATATACCGTTCTCACTGGGGTACAGAGCACTCAGAATCTTCTGGAGGGAAGAGAAATTAAAGAAAAAACTAGAAGAACTGGAAGATGATCTGGTTGAGAGAGAAGATCCATTAAATCTTCCTTCATGAAGGTGGGGAGGATTAAAAGAGAGCAAGCACTGAAGAAGGTTGTGATTAGCAGGGTAGAACCAGGTTTAATGTCAAATATGACCCTAGACTGCCTAGGTTCTCTGAAACCCTAAGTTCATCCTGGAAGATTCTAATAGAAGATCCAGTAATAAAGAAAATCTGCCCCTCTCCTCCTATCGTATGTTACCAGAGAGTGGAGAATTTGAAGGATCTCTTGGTTAAGTCTAAACTTCCAAGTAGACAGAGATTCACAAGAGAAAGAAGAGATAAGACAAATAAAAATAAATATGTATTGTAACTGCAAAATGCAATTTCAAAAAGATCGGAGCAAATGTGCGTGCGCGCGCTTTTTGTTGAAAGAAACGACTTTTTCACGTTTACACATGCTTTACACCGTTAAATGAACTTGAAATTGCATTAGATCGCGATTACACAAGAAATCCCTGAAAATTTTGCGCCCTGGAGCCTCAAGTCAAGTCCACTATGTTCTTAACATAGAAAATATCTAATCAACTGAATACTTAACCTAGAATATATATAATCTGCTTTTTTGTCAACCTAGAAATATTAATTTTCATTCAACTATATTCTCAACCCAGAATATATTTATTCAACTATATTTTCAACCTAGAAATATCTTCATCTATATATAAATTTGGCTTGTCTGTCTGTTTGTCTGTCTGTTTGTATCCAATAAACGTCAAAACGGCTGAACCGATCGGGCCCAAATTTTTTGTGGACATCTAGGGACCCCAGGGAAGGTTTATGAATGATCAAAATTTCAAATATTTGTCTCCATCAAAATTCGATCGTCATTAAATTTTTAAAAATTTTGAAAATCCGCGAAATTTTTTGTAAAAATCCGCGAATTATTTTTGTTTTGTTTTACGATGTACACAAAGAGAACATGTTCACAACTAATCTAGAAGATGGGCGCGAAGCGCCCTCTAAGGCTAGTTCAAATATATTCTCAACCCAGAATATATTTATTCAGCTATATTTTCAAATTGATCAAAATATTTCTGATTTAAAAAAAGAGAAAACAAATTGCTGATGAATTAATACTTACATTAATTATGCCTCCCAGATATGAAACCACGTTGTGATCAACTATTAGAATTAATACAAGGATTGCCTCAACTATCAGTTGCCTAAAATTACAATTGTTTCTGGTATTTCTAAAATCATTGTTTGATATTGAGGTTGAATCTTGTCAGCACACAGTAACGTGTAAAAATTAATCTGAAATGATATTTTTGAACTTTTATTTTTTTAATTTATATATATATATAATATACATATATTCAATGACAGCTAGTAACTACACTAGTGAGTAAACCTGTTATCTTGGAAAGGTAAACTAGTGAGTAAACCGGTAATCTGGGAGAGATAACTAGTACACTAGTCAGTAAACCTGTAATCTGGAAGCGCTACTTGCTATACTTGTGAGTAAACCTGTAATCTGGGAGAGCTACCTGCTATACTAGTGAGTAAACCTGTAATCTTGGAGAGGTAAACTAGTGAGTAAACCTGTAATCTGGGAGAGATAAACTAGTGAGTAAACCTGTAATCTTGGAGAGATAAACTAGTGAGTAAACCTGTAATCTTGGAGAGGTAAACTAGTGAGTAAACCTGTAATCTTGGAGAGGTAAACTAGTGAGTAAAACTGTAATCTGGGAGAGATAAACTAGTGAGTAAACCTGTAATCTGGGAGAGATAAACTCCTGAGTAAACCTATAATCTGGGAGAGATAAACTAGTGAGTAAACCTGTAAACTGGGAGAGCTACACTAGTGAACAAACCTGTAATCTGGGAGAGATAAACTCCTGAGTAAACCTATAATCTGGGAGAGAAAAACTAGTGAGTAAACCTGTAATCTAAGAGAACTACACTAGTGAGTAAACCTGTAATCTGGGAGAGCTACCTGCTACACTAGTGAGTAAACCTACAATCTGGGAGAGCCTCGCTAGTGAGTAAACCAGTAATCTGGGAGAGCTACACTAGTGAGTTAACCTGTAATCTGGGAGAGCTACCTATAATAATAATAATAATAATAATAATAATAATAATAATATATACCTCTGTGTATGCTGATGGTTTCTAGATATACTTGTGCTGAGTGCATAAATAGAACATCTACTCCCGAACTCTCTAATACCATACTCCTGTCCAGACATAATGTGATGCAACAGATTCTAAATATTTTAAATTTTCAATTAAAATGTATAAATCTCGTTATCTGCATGATTACATAAACCAGGTTAAACCAGTTCAACCAAGGTCAATATTTTTGTGTCATTGGGTCAGCTTGAGGTGATCTGGTCCCACACTAAACTAAGCTAGTGAGGTAAGCCTACGATTGGCCGGGAACTGTAAAAAGTCTGGCCGCGCCATCAAAGTTGATACTCAGCCGGCATTGGTTACAATTGAGCCGGTACTTCCCGCACGTCATTGAGGCCGTCACAAGGGATCAGTCCAGTTCGAATTTAAATTGACCCTAGTCCATCGTGGTCCGGTCGAAAAAGTTCGGTCAAGTGAGATTAAACCAGGCCAGTAACAGTCAAACCTGGACCAATCCAAGGTAATCCCAGCCCAAAGCTAGTTAGTGAGCTTTATTCAGTCCTGCCAAACATTTTAGGCAAAATCCGGTCAAATCATGTAATACCAAGTTCTAGCTTGGTCCAAGGCAAAACAAATAAAGCCCAGGTCAAACCACGCAATATTAGTCAAGTCCAACCAGTTCCGTCAAACCTAGTCATGGAAAATCTTTCCAAGCCGGTCAAACCAGCCTGGTCAAAACGCCTAACGAATCCGAACAATCTAGGTCAAACCCATCCGGTCTATTAAGGTAAAACTAAACTTAAACTTTACGCTTAATTAATTCAGAACTGGTCATACAGGTAAAAACAGGCCAAAACTAGGCAACCAGGTCAATCAGGTTTAACCAAATTAGTCAAGTAAAGGTGAAAGAAACCCGATCCAGCGCAGAGTAACAAAAATACATAACATAATCAGTACCTTAGTTTCGTAAGGTGAGAGATTCAATAGTTTATCCTCAGCTTCTTCTGGAGATATTGAAAGAGTTCGACCCAGTTCACTGTTCATAACCTGTAACATTACTACTATAATTGTGATTGTTAATTTTTCTATGGTAGGCGGTATTTTTTTTTACATATTTGACTCTATTCGTGAGCCAGTAGAATTAAGTCAGGAATATCAAGTAAGATGGCGTTATGACATTTCATAAATGGGACATTTCATAGATAGGACATTTCATAGGTAGAACATTTCATAGATAGGACATTTCATAGATAGGACATTTCATTTGTAGGACATTTCATAGAGAAGATTTTTCATAGACAGAGGAGGTTTTTTATCTACGAATTTTTTTTTAACTTCTTTAAATTTAAATTTTAAAGTTTTTAAATCATTACATATGAAGAGTGCTTTATTTGTTTCTTTAAGAACTTATTTCATCTGTATAAACTTTCTGTCTATCTAAAAGTTTTTAGTTTTCCGTAAAAATAAAAAAATGAAATTTAAAAAAATGATTTTAATTTTTAAAAAATTTAGAAAAAAAATCATTGTAAAAAAAAATGAGAAAAATTTCTTTTGCAAAAGAAATCCCCTCTGTCCATGAAAAATCTTCTTTGTCTATGAAATATCTTTTGTATGAAATGTCCTTTATTATTAATAAACAGAACTTCTGGGGGATCTATGAAATGTCCTATCTATGAAATGTCCTATCTATGAAATGTCTTATCTTTGAAATGTCCTACATATGATTTTGTTATCTATGAAATTTCTTTCTATCAAATGTCACAACGCCAGGGAAGAGATCTGAAACTTGGAGAATCCAGACCGCCATCGGGTTCGCGCTTTCAAACACCCGGAATTGAAGAATTTACAGAATTGCAGTTTTACAGTCAAGTCTAAATAAATAAGGTGGTGGGGAAGGGTAGTCCCCCTTGTTGTGGTAAATCAAAAAAAATAACTCAACAACAACAATTTAATTAAAACAAAAAAGGTGTACATACCTGGATAATAAGCCCGACTCTTAACCTCAGCATTCCAGTGAAAAGATAAGGTTCTGTGCGGATAAACATTGCCAGATACAGTAGGATCTCCTGAACATTAGTAGATACAGTACGATCTCCTGAACATTACTAGATACAGTACAATATCCTGAACATTCTAGATACAGTAGGATCTCCTGAACATTAGTAGATACAGTAGGATCTCCTGAACATTACTAGATACAGTACAATATCCTGAACATTCTAGATACAGTAGGATCTCCTGAACATTCTAGATACAACAGAATCTCCTGAACATTACTAGATACAGGAGGATCTCCTGAAAATTGCTAGTTACAGCAGGATCTCCTGAACATTACTAGATACAACAGAATCTCCTGAACATTACTAGATACAGGAGGATCTCCTGAAAATTACTAGTTACAGCAGGATCTCATGAATATTACTAGATACAGCTGAATCTCCTGAACATTCTAGATACAGTAGGATTTCCTGAACATTACTAGATACTGGAGGATCTCCTGAACATTACTATATACAGGAGGATCCCTGAACATTACTAGATACAGCAGGTTCCCTGGAAATAAATATATACAGCAGGATCCCTGAACATTACTAGATACAGTAGGATCTCCTGAACATTCTAGATACAGTACAATATCCTGAACATTCTAGATACAGGGTGGCAAAAACTTTTTTGAACAAATCCGTACAAAAATCTGTACATTTTCAGAAAAAATCCGTACAATCCGTGCAATTTTCGAGAAAAAAAAACCGTACAATCCGTACAATTTTTTAAAATCCGTACAATCCGTACATTTGTTTAAAGCAATCCGTACATTTTTTAAAGATCCGTACATTTTTTTAAAGAATCTGTACAATCAGTACAATTTTCGAAAAAAATCCCATTTTAGAAAAAAAAACATTAAAATTCAATTTTTCATTCATTGTCTTTTGTGTTCAGTTCATGTAAGAGGGTTTAAACTTCTTCAGCAAGAATCAATCTGTAAAAAATTGGCTTCATACATATATACAAACTAAATACTGGGTACATGATACTAGGTGCATGATACTGGATNGACTGGGTACAGGATACTGGGTACAGGATACTGTACACTTCTTGGACATATCTCGAAAATTATGAATGAATTTTGATTGTCAATAGGAAACATTATTAATCAATCTAATATTATTTAGAATGCAGAAAATAAGTTAAACTAACTTCATTTTTAAGAGAATTTTTTTTTTAATTTTCATGAAAAATTTGCTGAAATGAGTGAAAATTTAAAAAAAAACGGTGTATTTTCCAGGATAAAAATCCGTACAATTTGAAAACAAATTCGTACAATCCGTACAATCCGTACAATTTTAGGGTTAAAAAAAACCAATCCGTACAATCCGTACATTTTGGCCACCCTGTAGATACAGTAGGATCTCCTGAACATTAGTAGATACAGTAAGATCTCCTGAACATTACTAGATACAGTAGAATCTCCTGAACATTACTGTATGCAGGAGGATCCCTGAACATTACTAGATACTGGAGAATCTCCTGAACATTACTATATACAGCAGGTTCCCTGGAAATAACTATATACAGCATACAGCAGGATCCCTGAACATTACTAAATACAGTATGATCTCCTGAACATTACTGTATACAGGAGGATCCCTGAACATTACTAGATACTGGAGGATCTTCCGAAAATTACTAGATACAGCAGGTTCCCTGGAAATAACTATATACAGCAGGATCCCTGAACATTACTAGATACAGGAGGATCTCCTGAAAATTACTAGTTACAGCAGGATCTCCTGAACATTACTAGATACAACAGAATCTCCTGAACATTACTAGATACAACAGGATCTCCTGAACATTACTTAATACAGCTGAATCGGCTAAACATTAATAGATACAGCAGGATCCCTGAAAATTTGTAGATACAATAGGATTTCCTGAACATTACTAGATACAGTACAATCTCCTGAACATTTTAGATACAGTAGGATCTCCTGAACATTCTAGAAACAATAGGATCTTCTGAACATTATTAGATACAGAAGGATCTCCTGAAAATTGCTAGTTACAGCAGGATCTCCTGATTATTACTAAATATAGCAGAATCTCCTGAACATTACTAGATACAGCAGGATCTCCTAAACATTAATAGAGACTGCAGGATCTCCTGAACATTACTAGATATTCTGCAATCTCCTGAACATCAATTTATACAGCAGGATCTCTTGCACATACTGATGGGGTGTGATGGGGTCCTGAAAATCACTAAAAACAGTAGGATCTCCTGAACATTACTAGAAACAATAGGATCTCCTGAACATTACTAGAGACAGCAGGATCTCCTGAACATTACTAGTTGCGGCAGGATCTCCTGAATATTACTGGATACAGAAGGATCTCCTAAAAATTACTAGATTCAGCAGGATCTCTTTAACATTACTAGATAAAGTAGAATCTTCTGTACATTACCAGACATACTGACGGGTTATAAACTAGAAAGAATAATAATATTCAAATAGATCAACAATACATACCTGAGAGAGAGAACTTGTGGAAACATCTCCTTCGTGTGCTTTAACAATCTTCAATCTGAGCTCCTGAGCACCTACAGGACGTGTTATAACAATCTCTTTGCCAGGGAGACCCACAGTCACCTGCTTCTGTCTCACGATAAGATCCGTCAGACTGAGAGCAAGGGAGGGGAGTTTCTTACCGAGCAAACCTGAATATTGATATCTGTATACTTCAAGGGACTGTAGTTACAATTTCAAGTGGACCTTCAATAAAGTAGTGCAATGGTACTCTTTATACTTTTGTCTGGTCATGGATAAATGAATTATCCTTAATTTTTTATCTAAAAATTAATTATTTTAATTGAGATTTCTCTAAAAGTGAATTGCGGATTTATGCTGCAGAGAATTAGTATAATTTTACGAATTCACAATGTGTTAGATAGAAAACGATGATATCTTCTTCATTGCCAATTTAGGGTTAAACGGGAACATTGTATATTGGTCAAACCACACTGTAACTGAAGGGACACTTCAAGTTGACAAACCTTTTCATTTTGTAATGTAAAATTTTTTATCTATAAAATGAGTACAATAATGGTAATCCAGGGAATTGAAAATTTCGAATTTATCATTTTGAGGAAAGTTAGTTACACTGACATCTATTACAAAATGGAGAAAACGTAATCTAAAAACCTACCAGAAGTATGCCTAACCATAGCCCAGTTTTTAGCCTCACAGGATGCATCATATAATTCTTGAACCAGGTTCTCAACTGTTCTATAATCCTCTCCATCCTTGCTGATATTCACCTTACATAAACAGCTTTATATTCACCTACACAACATATCTAAACTTGATATTCACCTACACAACATAAACTAAATTGATATTCACCTACACAACATATACTAACTTGATATTCACCTGCATACAATATACTACCTTGATATTCACCTACACAACATATACTAACTTGATGTTCACCTAGACAACATATCTAAACTTTATATTCACCTACACAACATATACTAACTTGATATTCACCTAGACAACATATACTTAATTGATATTCACCTACACAACATATACTAAATTGATATTCACCTACACAACATAAACTAAAAATTGATATTCACCTAGACAACATATACTAAATTGATATTCACCACACAATATATTAACTTGATATTCAACTACACAACATAAACTAACTTGATACAACATATACTAAATTGATATTCACCTACACAACATAAACTAAAAATTGATATTCACCTAGACAACATATACTAAATTGATATTCACCAACACACAATATATTAACTTGATATTCAACTACACAACATAAACTAACTTGATATTCAACTGTACAACATATCTAAACTTGATATTCACATATACAACATAAACTAAATTGATATTCACCTACACAACATATACTAATTTTATATTTACCTACACAACATATCTAAACTTAATACTCACTTACACAACATATACTTAATTGATATTCACCTAGACAACATATCTAAACTTGATATTCACCTACACAACATATACTTAATTGATATTCACCTACACAACATATACTTAATTAATATTCACCTACACAACATATACTTAATTGATATTCACCTACACAACATATACTTAATTGATAGTCACCTACACAACATATACTTAATTGATATTCACCTACACACAATATACTAACTTGATATTCACCTAGACACAATATACTAACTTAATATTTACCTATACAACCTATCTAAACTTAATATTCACCTACAGAACATATACTAACTTGATATTCACCTACGTCCTACACACAACTAATTAACTTAATATTCACCTACACAACATATAACCAACTTGATATTCAACTACACAACATATAACTAACTTGATATTTACCTACACAACATATATTAACTTGATATTTACCTAAACAACATATATTAACTTAATATTCACCTACACAACATATCCGAACTTGATATTAACCTACACAACATATCTCACGTAGATATTCACCTATAAAACATATGTAGCTCAACTAGATATTACATACACAAAATATCTAAACTTGATATCAACTTAAGCATAATTTTTCAACTTGATATTTACTTACACAACATATCTCGACTAAATATTCACCTATACAACTTATCTCAACTAAATATTTATTATAATAATTTTGTGAGTGGAAAAACCGACAAATATAATTTGTCATCTTAAATAGATGATAGAGAACTGACCTTGAACATTAGACCGAACTGTTCAGCCATATAGTGAAGTATATCTCCTTGCTCCTCCATATCTCTAGTAGTCTGGAGCAGTTTAACTAAATCTCCAGCCTCCTCCTGTCTACCTAGAGTATATATATATATCTCCTTGCTCCTCCATATCTCTAGTAGTCTGGAGCAGTTTAACTAAATCTCCAACCTCCTCCTGTCTACCTATTGTATATACAATATACATTTACAAGGAGCTTGAGTTTTTAATCAGTTTTTCTGTCTTGGGCATCATAATATGTACTATAAAAAGGCGTTGCATCTAAGACATTTTTCAATAAATGATCCAAAAATGATGGTAGCCAGTGTTAATTTTGCATTTTCAGTCTCCGATCAGAAATATAGAAGATCCGACTGGATATCATTTTGTTCCTAGATCATGATATCAAATGAGCACCTGCTACCTCCATTATTTCCTGAGAAAATGTAAGATCAGTAACTCAATATCCTATAAGTAGTAAAACACATTTTTGAGGGGATGAAATGTAAATTTCATCGACTTCACAGACTACCACAATTTTGGCTGAGATATTGAAAAATGTCTTAGATGCAACGCCTCTTTTAAATGAAAAAATCCTTGTGTCATCTTCATAGCAATTTTATTTGCGAATCCTCTTCAGAAACGTGAATTTAAGAGAGACCCTGTATTACATACCTTTTTGTTTCTAAAACTCTGAAAATCTTCATCTTCTCTATTCTATAACGCTACCTGATATATCACTGCCCAGTCTTCTCCTGAAAGATTCTCCGATAGTATGTTTCGTTGAGCCTGGAGAAGAACCTGGACTCCGGGATACAGATAAATCTCTCTTCCTAGTCTCATGCTTCTCGATCAGCTTTGCAGCAACTTCTTTACTCTTAGACTCACTCATGATTATAGACCTAAAGAATTCATATGAAAGTGTAACCTGCTAAGCCCCCCAGACCCCCAACCCCTGCCATGCCACCACAAACCATTTTTTTGACCCCCCACACCTAGCCAAAGAATGAGACTTCAGACGACTGTACGGAATTTACACTGTCTGTTTCTTTATATTCATGATTCCCTGCAACTTAAAATTCTTTTTTTCTTTGCCAAATCATTGAAAGCCATCTAATGACAACATTTAAGACAGAAGATTTAATTTACACTTTGGATCGTCATATTTGATGAATTACAAGTCGTCTTAACAGTCTAGTCCTTTGTGGGTAACCTTGTATTTATCTAGCGGAGGAAGGTGGCTCACACGCCATGTAAAACAGCCAGGTAGTCTGTTAAAGATGGCTTGAGAAATGAGTTACCTGGTTCTTTTGACTGTTCCAACACAATGATTTGCGGATTTCTTTTCTTCAGTGACAGTTGCAGTTCCCAAAATACCACCTTAATAGAGGAAATGGATAGAAGAATACAAGAAACAGAAGAATCAAGAGGAAAAACTCCCAAAAACTGCTTCTTAAAATAAAACACACTACTAATTAAAATCGTATGGCATTGCTTTTAAATCCTTAAACTAAAGTGACACCAATATCTTTATCCAACCTGTGATAACACCTCCTCCAAGCTGTGTCTCTAGATATTTAGCAACAACTGGGTCTAGTCTATCAGGACATCCGGCCTCTATATTCCCAAGGAACGCCAGTTCACTGTAGGAACTCGTCGTGTGAAACTCCTCATATGTTCCTGAAAATAATGATTTTGAAATCGGAAAATTTGAATGTCGATGGAAATGGCCGGTGACTAAAATATTTAAAAATTTAAACTAAAATAAATAATTTCAAAAAAAAAAATCAATTCACACTACATATTAATGGGGTCTGTTATCAACTAAAAACATCAAACCATATTTTCTCATTTGATTGGCAAATTGGTCAGTTTTAATTCAGTTAATTACAGAGTCCCAGCACATTTTTAACTTTTTACCTAGGGATACCCTGGTTCCATTTATATATCCGCTCTTCAGCTTCTTCAAAGTGTTCACCATCGGAACAGGAATAGTACCATCATCTTCTGTAGGATATAAAACATTTTCAAAAAAAAATGATTAGGGGATCTGAAAATATTATAGGTTTTCAAAACTCCCCCCCCCCCCC